TAGTAAAATAATTAATTTAATAAGAGATATAGATAAATTAGTCAATTTACTACTGATATACAAAAGCAATTTATTTTCTACTGCGTTTTTTGGCCCTTCCATGCTTCCTGATTTCGACCAACACCTTCTTCCATTTCCGCCTCGTTTTTTCTTGATCGGCTTTTTCGCTCAGTTTATATTCTTTTCGCTTCATTTCTTTCATCTGGTTTGAACCTATAATACCGGTAATCTGTGCATGACAACGAGATGTATTATACCGGGCGTGGCGAGCTCCCATAATAGCTTGTGTTCGATCAAATTCCATCTGTAGCTGAAGAGCCAAAGTAGCCTGCGTTTCAGCACCTTTTGTAAGCTTTGCTAACCCATCTTTAAAACGCTGAGTTGTAGAATCGTATTGACTAAGCCGTAGGCTTATTCTTCTCACTTTTTCAGCGGTTTTTGGAGTGCTAAACTCGGTATTTTGTAACGTTGTTGATGGTGTATCTGGCCGCGGTATATTGCCATGATAGGGGTCATATAACTCCAATTCATCAGTAATAAGCTTGGAATTAATAGACCAAAGGCCTGTTAATTCAAATCCAAGCTTAATTGTATGCGGTTTGAAGGTTTTTCGACGAATTTCCCCTATTGAATGTAGGAATTCATCCTTTGAAAATTTGCGGCATCCAGTCATTGTTGCGGCCTCGACAGCCTCACTATGCCAGTGTTTATAAACACTAAACACTCCAACATCGAGTGGCTGTAGTATATGACTAGTATGTGAGAGTAAAAAGAACAAAATGATATTATTCTTCTCACAAAATTCGACAAATTGACGCGTCATATGTGATCCAAAACGATCACATAACACAAGCCTTTTTACACCAAGTGTACGGCCGATAGTCCACTTATGAAAAAGCTGAATCCACTGATATGCTAAGGTGTCATTGATATAGCCGGTATCAGTGACAGCTAGATGCTTATCTTCCTTAATAGCATCGAACTAGCGTGCTAAGGCTTGCTTTGCACTTAGTATAATAAGCGGCGGGCAGGCAAAACCATCAGCAGAGACAGCCTCTAAAACAGTCACAGATTCTCGATTTGTGATAGAGCCATTGAATAGCTTCTTTTTTGGATGCCGGGTAATAATAAATTGATCTTTTCCGATACCAATTTGAAAGCCAGTTTCGTCAAAATTATAGATATCTTGTTGGCAAATCCCGTGCTCATTGATTACCCGCTCGTAGTCGTTGAACCACCTTTGCACTACTGATTTGTCGAGTGCAGCACTTCTTTCAACATCGAGAGCTTGCCAGCGTCGAATATAGTACTCGGGATGACGTTTAAGAAAACGTTTTAGCCAGTGATTCCCGATTTTTGGGGGGTCTTCGCCGCTGTTAGGGTAGTCTTGAATATAATCTTCTTCGAGTATTGAATTGGCTGCCATAGCAATTTGGCGGCGGTTTATCGAGGCTCCGACCGTATCAAAGTATTCGATATATTCACATAAAGCCCCTTCTTGTGCAGGAGTAAGCTTCCTACCATTAGGTTGTCGTTGAAAAAGCGATTTTCCGCCTTTCCATCGCCGGCGTAGTCGATGCATTGGGACCGCGAATTCTCGCGCAGTTTTTGCGATATTAGGTTTAGACTGCATATGGGTGATACATTGCATATGGGTGGCGGACCCTCGCTTGCGAGGGTCCGTATTTTTTGAAAAAAAATTACAGGGGCCGGTTAGTTAACTAGTCTAGTTAACTAGTTAAGTAAATTATGCGCAAGGAAATTAAATATCTTGCAGAAAAAACAATTTTTTTATACACAGGAACTCATTTATATAGGGGCAATCTTCTTCCGTCTTCCAGCTCCAAATGGTATCTCGTGAGATCAACATCCCTTAGTCCTGTACTTTTGAACCCTATCCATCTATCCACCGTCTTCTTGATTCAGAGAATCAACGCCCGCAGGACATTCATGTGGTATCTCCTGGCGCATGGGCCTATTCCATCGAGGGAATCGAGCGCGATCGGCTTCGATCCGGCAATTTCATTTCCTCCTGACTCGCGGAATTTGGGGGAGTGCGGGAACCAACGTCGATCCGGGCGACGGCGAGACAGCAATGCTGATTGATTAACTGACCAACGCTGACCAGGGTCGGACCATTCAGCAGCGCATAGTGGTCATTGCAGTCGACATAGTGCACCGACGAGCCCGGGCATTGCTTCTCCCAAAAGTCAGCCACCCCATCCTGCATCCGTGCGGGCAACGCAACGTAGAGGCATCGGCCATGGTACACTGGGGGCAGACGCGACTGGGTGAGAAGCTCGTTAAGACGGGTGAAATGCTCCTGGAACGCCGCCATCGCGCGCTGCTCGACGCTAAGGAGACTGAGGACCTCTTTGTCGTTGGTCGATTCAAGGCCGGTGGGCGAGTACGTGCCGGGGTCGAGGAGCAGCACCGATGACGGAGGGCAGGAAGTCCGTTCCTGCCAGAGTATGGCCATCTCAAGGGCAATAAGACCCCCGAGCGAGTACCCTCCTAGGATCAACCGGTGACCAACAGGCAGTCGAATATCGTCGAGGTAAGATCGGGCCCATGCGGAGAGAGATTCCGGATATCGCGAGGTTCCGAAGAAAGGATCGTCCACAAGGATCACGTTGAACCGGCTATCTAGGAACGGCACGAGGGCCTCAAGACTCTTGGATTGCGCCAGGAATGGATGGATCAAAACAACGCTGGCAATGCTCGTGCTCCGCTCGTAGATATGCATATAGTTCGGTGACTGACGACCGGGGGAGTCATTCATTTCGCTTACCATCGTATTGAAACCCCGGACTTTGGCGGCCTGGGATTGGATTGTCGCCGATTGACGAAGGTCCGTCATATGCAGTGGCAAGCCATCGCGGCGGAACGCAGCCAGGAGGCTAATGGCACGGATGGAGTCTCCACCTAGCAGTGAGAAGGGTACGGTGATGTCGATTTGGTCTTCCCCGCCCGCTATTCCCAAGATGTTTGCCCAGTGCTGGGCAATGTGGGCTTCCAGGCTATCTGGTGTCGCCCGAGTGATGCAGGCCGGCTCGGTAGCGACACCAGTCATCCATCGGTTATAGCTTTCTTCTGCCATCTGACCTATGGCCCGATAGTCAATCTTGCCACTTGGCGTTTGTGGCAAGGGCGCCGTACTCAGTTGAACTTGGGCCGGTATCATGTATTCTGGGACCCTCTCTGCGATGCACTCTTGGATCTGCCCCATGAAGACCGTGTGTTCCTGGGTGGTTTTCGGATCTACCTGGACAAGTGCAACTAGGGCTTCCGATCTCGGACCCTCTACCTTTGTCACCACGCAGGCCTTTACCAAAGGATGCGCCTCAGCCGCCGCTGCAATCTCACTTGGCTCGATGCGCAGGCCACGAAGCTTGATCTGTCCATCCAAGCGCCCTAAATACTCCAAGCTTCCATCTCCATGCCATCGCGCTAGGTCTCCGGTGCGGTATATGAGGCCCGTCGAATCAAAGGGATTGCGGACAAAGCGCTTCGATGTCAGGTCAGTATCACCGAGGTAGCCACGCGAGACCTGTGGCCCGGCGATGCAGATCTCGCCTGCAACGCCAATGGGGACTTGTTCGTTGGTGTCAGGCCGTAGGAGGTAGATGTGATTTTGGTGGATTGGCTGCCCAATAGAGAAGAACGGGGGCTGTATTATAGTAGGCACATCTGCACTCTGGACTTTGGACGCCATCACTTCTATCGTAGTCTCTGTTGGCCCGTAGCCGTTCCATATAGTGATTTCCCGGGGAACGTGACGGAGGATTTCGCGTCGGAAAGGCTCGCCACCAAACACGAGGGTTGTAAGATATGGAAGATAGAACTCTTGTGAGCTGGTGTGGTCATTAAGAAGAAGTGTGCCAAGTGTGGGAGTTAGAGCTAGGTGAGATATGGCGAGCTCGTCTAGCCAGCGAGATAGCTGTGGCATCAGGAGGCTACGACGCACTAGACAGAGCCGACCACCTTTACCCAGTGTGCCGAATATATCTCCCACCGAAGCGTCAAAGGTATATGATAGCATCGCGAGGCGGCGCGAGGTCCACGAGCAATCTGTGCTCCCGGCATGAGCGCGCATGAATGACACCAGATTTCGTTGCTCCACCATTACCCCCTTGGGGATTCCTGTCGAGCCAGAAGTAAACAACACATAAGCTAGAGTGTTAGAAGAACGTGCTGGGACCATCCGGCGCTGAGCGTCGTGGCCCTTGAAATGGCGCAGGTCGTCCGTTGTCCACAGCGAGCAGCTGATTCGACGGGAAACATCTTGCAGTACGCTATTACCGTGGACGCCATCCCAGATGATCAGGCGAGCATCGATAGTCTCGCATATTGTTGTCAATCGATCCGCGGGATGCGCTATATCAAGTGGCACGTAGGCGGCTCCGGCCTTAAGGACCGCTAGTATTGTTACCACCATGTCAATAGACTTGTCAAAACAGATCGGAACAAGAGGTTGACCATGGCGAAAGCTCCCTTCGCCGTTTTCTGCATGCAACACAGCTCGTATGGAATGCGACAAGTCGCTACTCCAATCATCGAGCTCTCGGTAAGTGACGAATCTCGTATGCTCAAACTGCAAAGCAATCTTCTCCGGCATCTTCCGTGCTTGGTCCCGAATAATGTCTTGGGCACATTGAACCGGCGTGGAGCTGGGTTGAGATGATCTCGCATCGGTGGAAAATTGCATCAGGAGTTTTCTCTCTTCTGCACCTATCAAAGATTTGACATGTATCTGAGGATTCTGCGGGTTTGGAGTTGTATCCATTGCATGCAAAACCTGCACCAAGTGCTGCCCCACCCAATGGGCATCTTGGGGAGACAAGGCCGCCGGATCGAAAGTATACTGGAAGTCCATCTTGCCTGTTGTTTCTGCACAGAACGCCTCAATCACCAAGGGAAACTCGACCTGATTCAAAGTTTCCAGTCTGCCCGAAAATGGGAGCGTGGGGCTTGAAGGTTGGTCGCCGTCGCAAGGGGATCTCGAGCCGTGCTGATAAACATATAGGACCCGAAATGGCAGATCACTAGGATGCTCACTTTCGCGTCGGATTGCTGCCAAGCCGAATTGTAGGTAGGGTATGGTATCAGCGTAGCATTCGGTAGCAGTCCGGATAACCTCGTTAAACGACAGGTCTCCGGCCATGGGAATTCGAACAGGGTGTGTTGCAATACATGGGCCGGCAACAAAGCCCGACGACTGCCTTCCGCTGGAGACTTCACCCAAGACAACATCAGCGGTATCACCATGAACAGCGATGAGCATGGCCACCGCTGCTCGTGCAATAGCAGCCGGAGTGGTATGAAAGCGACGGGCCAGTCGACGTGCGTCGCCTTTCCAAGAGGCCGTCTTTACCTGATGTCTTCTTTCTTCCTGGCTGCGCGTATCCGAGGGCGCAGATGGGGGCCACAATGCACACGAAGCACCTTCTAGATACGATTTCCAGAAGGATGATACTTCCGAGTAATCGCGAGACTGCAGCGACCCGATGAATGAGGAAAATGGGATGTCGTCAATGCCAAGGAGAGAGGTCCTGGTGGCCTGAGGTGTCCAAGAGCAATATCCTTCCGACAGCCTCTTCAAGATAGACGAAAGATATGCCCCATCGTAAAGTGCGTGGTGAATTTTGAGGACCAATTGGGAACCTTCAGTAAAAGCGAGCGCGACCGGAACATGGCCGATGCCTAAGGATATGTCGAAGTTGGCAGCGTCCTCAATACTGGAAACGCGCCGGATTTCATCGCAATCAGGCTTCAGAATGGCCTGCAGAAAGGCATCCCCGCATATGCCTTGGCTGGCGCTTTTCTGAACCACGGGTAAGAAAATAGTTCGCAGCATCTCTTGCTTTGCTACAAGGGCTGCCCATGCGCCGCGAAGGGCTTCAACATTGATCCTTGAGTCAGGGTTGAAGTGTATAGTCCCAAGGTAACTAGAAGATCCACCGAATGTCATGTCTGCGGACAGAACGCCTTCTTGGAAAGCTGAGCAAGGCATAACCTGCGTGATGTCCATTACATCGACGCCCAATGCACGAGCCGCCGGCTGCCACCCCATATCCTCCAGGGCTGGAAGAAATGTCAGATTCGGATTCTCGTGGTCTTTGGGCTGGGAACCCCTGTCCATGGATATGATGTGGAGCGCCAAACTTTCCGGCGTTGGCGACTCTATCAGATCACGGATCGAAAGAGCACACTCCATTCGCCGGGAAATCTGGAATATCGCACGGGTAGCCATCAGGGAATGGCCGCCAAGGTCAAAGAAGTTGTCAGTCACGCCCACAGGGCAGGCCAGAACTTGAGAAAATTCCTCGCAGATGAGGTCTTCGACATCATTTCGTGGGGGTTGATCAGGAGATAGGCTGGCCTGCGATGATATAGACACTTTAAACTCGGCCAATGCTTGCCGATCTATCTTGCCATTATGATTGATGGGCATGCGATCAATTGCTGTAATGGCTGTGGGCACCATGTATGACGGGAGCTGGGTCTGCAATTGGCTGCGTAATCTCTGTCCGATTGAAGAAGAGGGCGAAGAATTGTTCTGCATTGGATTGTTGGTAAAATCTTGTGCTAAACGGCCGTTAAAATCCGCTGGGAACTGGAAGAGCGTTCTCTCCTTTCCATCGGTTGGAGGAATTCGATGAAACACTGCATCAAATGCGCCGTTCTGCGATGCCTGGCGCGCCCAACTGACCTCTACGCGAAATCCAACTAGATCAGCAAGTTCAAACAGATCCGGAACGTCAAAGGCAGACCTGCGGTCAGCCTCACACTGGAGGATAGCCAACCAGTCAGATGAATGCGATTCGGAAAGTGTGAACGTAGCCTCGACAACCAGCCTTTCAAGTAAGGTTTTGCGATGAGGTATGTTTGATAGGGCCACCAGCTGGTGCCGAGAGCGAGAGGCATTCTGGAGCAAGTCTAACAAGGATTCCCGATTCAGGCCGCATGCATCTGCATCGATCCATTCATTATCATGTACGTAATGCACCGGCGGGCAATCAGGCCGAACCGCATGCACGACGGCAGCATATCTGTAGCAGCTGAGCTCATTGGAAGCGTGCATCCGCTTGGGCAAGATCTCCACATGATGGACAAGATGCGGGAATAGCTCTGGAAGAGCCATGAAGAACGCTGGGTCGACCAGCAACTCGGTTTCGTTGCGATCAATGTCCTCCATAACCCGGCGAATTCGTTCAACTGTTGTATCAATGTTGTTATACAAAGCCTTGGTCACCTGGAACTGGGAATATAAAGCATAGGAACGAATGTCACCGAAGAATAAAGTCTGGGCCCCAAGGGAAGATAGCAGGCCCTCAATCAACCGGATCAGATAATCACCACCCGGGAAATACTGGGCAACGGAGTTGACTACAACCAAATCAGGACGTTGAGGAAGTGTCATTTCGGCAATATCAGTTGCAGTCCCAGCATGGAGTTGGACCTTGCCCTGAAGACCGGGATTAACTTTCTTAACGGCGGCCTGGACAAAGTCCACCATCGATTTGACAGGATCAAGCCCTGTATAGGTTTGGAGATGGTCAAGGAGATTGAACAAAATCATCCCGGAACCCGTCCCAATTTCAACAACATGTCCGAGGTCTTGTGTCCCATTTCTGATGGATGCGATTGTCTCATCGAGCCATTCATTCATCTGGGACTTTTCGATATCATTGCCATCCACCATAGACTTCCATCCGAGAAAGTCTCGGCCTACGTCTGTTTGACGAATGGACGTCGCATATGTGTCCGTCCCGAACATGGTGGTCCACAACTCCTCATGGGCCTTCTCATTCATGCTGCTGCCCTCCGGGCCATTGACTTGCACTTGATGCTCCGTGATAAAGGCAACTAATTGGTGATCGTGGCCTGTCTGAATTGGCTGCAACAATACCACGGCCTCATCCACGCCTGGTTGTTCTTTGAGGACATGCTCAATTTCGGCCAATTCAATGCGATGTCCGCGAAGTTTGACCTGATGGTCTATGCGTCCAAAGCACTCAATTAGTCCGTCACGCGGGCGATATCGTGCGCGATCCCCTGTGCGGTAGGCGCGGACCGAGTGACCCCCAAGATTGAGTGTGATAAAACGGTCTTTGTTGAGTTGACCATCGGTATATCCGCGTGCCAGCCCATCCCCAGTCACAACCAGCTCCCCAAGAACGCCCGCTGACACCAGATTCTGTAGGGGATCCATGACATATGCCCCAGATTCTGGGACTGCACGGCCGATGGGAACCTCATTGACGGCGGTAGGCGGTTCTCTTGTCATGCGATAGCTGGTGCTGAAACATGTATTCTCCGTGGGTCCATAACCATTCAAAACCTCCCCAGAGCCAATGAGCTTCGCAGCGTGAAGCATAGTTTGAGGATCTGTCCGGTCGCCACCAACAACAAGTGAATCTAACCGGCCAACAGTGGTGGGCGATGCTATGAGAAGCTCCTTGAGAAGGGCAGGGGTGATAAAGGCAACACGGACCGACTCCCGACAAAACATCTCATCCAACAAAGGGTAATCCAAAACGGTCTCGCAGTCTATACACACGACCGTCCCGCCGTTTAGCAACGCTGTATATATCTCCCATACGGAAGCATCAAATGCCAAGCTTGCCATGTGCGCGACCGGCTTCCCTGTCCCAATGGCGCAGATATTAGTGGACGAGTGCATCCTACAGACAACAGAACGGTGCTCAATCATGACTCCTTTTGGTTTGCCGGTCGACCCGGAAGTAAAAATGATATATGCCAAGCTGGTTGGTGAAGGAAGTCGGGGTACTGGGAGATCGGTAAGACGAGATCCCCAGAGAATGGCCAGGTCCAGTGGAACCATTTCTAGATCGTCCAGTGCAACATTGGGAGATCGTACATTGGGAGCCAAGAGAAGCAGTCGTGGACCGTTGATGGACGATAGGATTGTATCTATCCGTGAATCAGGCCATCGATGGTCCATTGGTATATAGGCCAAGTCTGACTTGAGAATTCCCACTATCGCGACGATGGCATCTAAAGAACGGGGAGCATATACTGCAATTACCGACTCAGGGGCCAGGTTGCGAGTACGCAGCCAGTTCGCCACATGCTCAGATTCTCGGTCCAACTCGGCATATGTCAATTGCCTTGAATTGTATTTCACGGCCACAGTATCTGGATGTGAGGAAACTTGTTGTTGGAATACGTCCACAATTGAGTAATCCCGCGGATAGTTACCATGACGGGCCGGGAGCAACCCCATTTCTCCAAGAGCCGTGTGTCCATGAGTTAACGATATCAGCGCGATGGGCTTTTTGGGATCTTGGAGGACTTTCTCCAACAACTCAGAAAACACATATAGTAGCGTTTCAATTGTAGGTGATGTATAAAGATCTGATTCGGCGTGGACTGTTGCGATGATTCCATTCTCTCTATTGGAGATGTGAAATCTCAGGTCCAAATTCGGTGGATTGAAGTTCTCCAGGTGTCTACTCTTGTCGTGTGCGCGTTGGAGATGCATTGTAAATGCCACGCGCACCAGAGGATTGTCAGGAGTTCGTTCATGCTTCGAGGAAACTTCCCCCAATGAAGTATCTCGATTGGATGATGCCTCTTCTATCTTTGACTGCACGTTCCGAATTAAACCCTCAAAAGAGTCAGACTCGTCGACCTGCGTACGCAAACATTGGAAGCTCGCTGTCTCCTCACTGTCGGGAACGAGAGTCCCAATATTCGCGTCGTTTACCCCCGTCATGCGATAATGGGTGGCGCGGAAACAAGCAAATAACACCGCGTAAGGAGTCACTCCAAAGGTCTGGCAAAACTCCTGCAGGGCGTTGTCTCCGGGCGCCTGAATAAATATTTCCTTGGTGAGGGTCTTTCCCGATGGCGCGACCGGTCGGCGCCAGTCATGGAGAAACTCGGCCGGTTGGCTGTCCTTCAATTGCAATATCCAATACTGTAACTGGGCTTGTTCTTCATTCCCACTACAAGCGGTGTTAGGGGTGTCGGTTTCTGCTGGCGAGGATATCGTAGAAGGAGATGCGAGCTGTTGCCAGTGGATATTGCCCGACTCTGTCAGCGCCATGCCGTCGGCAATTTGCATAAGATGGGAGGGTATCATGTGGGATGGAAGGGTAGTAGACATCTGAGCGCGAAGCTCGACCTCTATTTGCGACCAGTCGGACTTCTCGAAAGCATGGGTTTGAATCAAGGCTAGCAGAAGATCTCCCGAGCAGGACTCGCCCTTGATCACGCCACATGCCTTTACGCTAGGATGGCGGGCGATACTAGCTTCAATGTCCGACAGGTCGACCACATACTGGCTATCCGTGGATCCATTTGCCATTGTATCAAGGTAGTGGTCAATATCTACGTCCCGGGCCCGAATGTGGTCCAGACTTTGTCGAAGGTCGTACTGCTGGAGCTCGGTGTGAACCTGCTGCAACCAGTGAAGGGTTTCACAAATAAAATTGTGAAACAAAACCATGGTTGTTTCCGAGAAACGGTTGCGATGATAGTGGAGATGGACGACGAAGGAGCCTTGGTGAGCGGGCATTAACTCGAGAAACAGCGGCATATCAATCAATGTTTCTCGGCCTGCCCATTCCCAGTCTGCAACACCCTTCCAGGGATAGGATTCATCGGTCTGACAGGCAAAAGCGACGGGGAGCGTCGATCCTAGCGATGGCATCATGGATCGCAGTTCACCGGTCGTGAAGTTGTGATAGATATCTTCCGTAGACCTCAGCGAAAGGGCAATTTGTGCCAGCGAGGTATGTTCATCGAGCCGAGTCAATCGTGGTTGGGTAACCAATATGGGCCCAAGCACCTGGCGGGATTCTGGTGCGAGATGTCGCCGTCCTGACATGGTTTCGAAAAATAAGGCTTCGCGCGTGCCCTGAAAGACGCACAGGCCCAGGGCCAGGGCCAGTCGACCCATCCACGCCGGGACTGCGCCGGAGTTGGGACGAGATTCCAAAAGAGTAGGAATTTGCCGCGCTAGGATCATCAGACCATCTTTGTTCCTAGAGGATCCTTGTTCGAGAGAAACTGGCGGTGTCCTCGTTCTTCCTGGTTGGATACGCTCATAGCGCTGTCGTAGACGAGCTTGAACCGCAGGGGTTCTCCCCGAGTCCAACTCAAACTCCAACGACATGATATCAGACGTCATCGTTGCCGACCCTGGATGTTCGATCTCCTGGCGGATCCAGTTCAACAACTGCCTAGCAGATGTTCCATCCATCAAGGCGTGATGGTAACTAAGAGTGAAGCGACACCCCTGAGCATGAGGCAAGGGCGACACGCAGACCCTCCACGGCATCTCCCCGGACCATTTGACCCCATTGAGTGATCCATAAATGCCAAATGCGATCCGGTGCAGCTTTTCGTGCGCCTCCATATCTCCCGGTGCCCATAGAAGTCGACCATGGTGCCGTAAATATTCCACATCGAGAATTGCAAGAGTGACATCTCCTCTCAGGGTGTCTTGATTCCAGCATATAATGGAACGAAGGGTTGAGTGCTTTGCTGCCAAATCGTGCAAAATTTCGTCGAGTTGAGGAAGGTTAATGGGCCCCGGGGTCATGAAATGGTAGCTTTCCACGTAAAGTCGGTGTACCGGGTCCATAGCCGTGGCGAGGATCATTGTCTCCTGCAACTTGGAGGGCCGATAAATGGCTTGGATGCTCCCTTCAGGGAGGTCAAGCATACGAAGTTCAGCCATTGTAGTTGCTGAATTCTCTGTCTTTTGAAAATGTTTTTTCTTTCCACAGGAGAGTTTATTTGGACGAGTGCACCTTTTCGAAGAACAGTGTCATGCCTCGACATTCTACAATATTAATACTCATGTTTATTCAGTCTGCCTTCACCACTTAGAAGAGTAGCGCTGACTGCTATTGAGCATACGTGATCGACGCCATAGTATTACACCATAACAATGTGGGGCATGTTGTGAGATGGATATGTCGGGGCATGCATAATAATTAGTATCACTTAGACCAAATTGAAATATTGAGCGACGATCCACTTATCAGCAAGCCACGGTAGGGGATACCTGAATATTCCAGTCGATCGTAACCATCAGCTCGCCAACCTACGCTTAAATACGAGGCTTATATGTCTCAGGTGTTAGAAAGTATCTCATTAGGATTTTCAGGAAGCATTATTACCCAGATCAAATTGAAATAAGAAATTGCGATCCACTTACCAGCTGGCCACCATAGGTGGCGCCTCAATGTTTCCATTGAACACACCCATCAGCCCGCCAACTTGTGGTTACGTATCGGGTTTGTGGTCTATTTGTTTGTCCAAAGGATGTTGCGTTGGCGTTCGGTTAGTATGCTGTTAGATTTAAACTCACCTCCGGCGTCTTCGTCACCACTTCTGGGCAGTTGAGGTAGACGTCAGCTGGTGGTAACACAGACTTCGACATCCTTGTATCCAACCACGAAGCGGCACCTTTTGAGGGAGATTTCTTGATCTGCACGGAAATATCGGGGCAGTATAGAGCAAACAAACACGCCTACCCTCCGAGGAAAAAGCCTCAGTGAGATGATGAGCATTAAGATGAAAGACAGGTCAGTATGCAGCACACGAAGCCGGCGGGGCAACCTGTCGGCACATCACTCCCTACATTTCCCTTCAAGCAATCTATCGACACCAGAGGCTGTCCATCGTACAGTATTTATTTTGCTTTATCGATCAGTTTTGCGCGGGGGAATTTTCTGTTCTTCTTCGGGTTGTTTAGGGCTCCTGGGAGATATCCACGGTGATTCTGGGGCCATATATGTCGAATTTTCGGTGTATATACGGTTAGTTGAGATAGCGAAAACGCCCGGTTTAGGGTCCTCCTCCCTTATTATAGCGGCCGTTAAAAGGCACACTGGAGGGTATGAATACTATCGCTGTTACCATTATACTGCTAGATAATGAACATAGAAAGTTATTCCCGAGTCCCAGTTTCTCGTACAATCTGAGATGTTTCTTATAGATAGGTTGACTAGGAGGTTTCGCATAGTGCTGTATGCCAATTTAAAGGAACTAGGTCACCACTGACATTGACTGAAAGCGGTTGGGGAGATTCATCCACCTTCCGGCCTTAACTGTGTCCGGTCATTGCTCGTAGTCGTTTCCCCTTACAGGCAGTTCCTCGAAATCATATCCCGGAACGTAAATATATCGGTACTCAGTCAGCAATTAGGTAGATCAAACCCAAACAAAAACGACCAAAAGAACAATTCTTACTACAACTAATGTGAGGTTAAAGAGACGAAATAATAATTGACATCAAGACAGTCAAACCGTAGATGAGAAAAGACTATTCCCTGCATTGAACAAGGCTGCTGTTGAAGGAGAAGACACCAGGACAACATTGGCCCAAAATAGGACCATCAAATAACAGAATCATCAAGTACTCCATCAAGCGGATGGGCAGGTTGCAAGGGGATGATAGTAGATCGTCGTATAGGGCCCCGTAGCCTTGAAGGAGAAGATCACCAGTGTCTGAAGACCAGAGGTTTTGCTAAGGTCTCTATTGGGTCTATTTCAATGTTAGTCATGCTCGCATTCATCTGGATCCCCCTACAAACTGTGGGAATAACTGCAAGGTCACTTACTGCAAATGTCGGACTTGGTCGACGTACGAATCGGCCCTGTCGTTCCACCCGAGCACCCTAAACCATTCGGCGATGGCCAGTGCGGTTTCGAGATCATTCCCGTCGTCTATTGGGAAATAGACTTTGGGCAACGGTTCTTCTTTGCCAGGACTGATCTCGTAGTTAAACAGAAATGGTAGCCATGGCTTCCGCTCCCCCATCTTCATGATGGTCCACAGCTTCTCGACAAGTTTGAACCCCTGATCAATCGCAGGTCCTTTGACCTTCCCTCCAAGAGTCCAGAGCTCTTGCACCTTCGTAAGACTAATATCCTTCTCCCACACATACAATTTCAGTCGGGATTTTGACACCTCCACGAAGTCCCAGGCAAAGAAAACAATCTCGCGGAGATGGTTATTGCTGCCCTCCATGTAGGTCATCACAAGTTCAGCCGCAGCAGAAGAGGACATCTGGCCTTCGATCCTGGATAGAGCATTGCGTAGCATCTCATGGATAGATTTTCCATGTGCCCGAGATGCCATTTGAGGCCAAAAATATTCTTTGACTCCAACCTCTCCTTCTTTGAAATCAAATGCAAGCATACAAGAGGCCACCCGTTCATCGATAGTTGTTTCATTGTATATCTTGTTGGTCTGGATATCAGAAATGATAAAATCATCCATGAAACGATGACAAAGTGTTCGATCAAATCCCTTTGGCTTGATAATAGCCAGTTTATCAACAACCCTCTCCACGGCACGGATGTTGAACGGGTCCAATAAGTTGCCTGAATCCGCATTGCTGGGGTCCAAGGTCATCCGGAAGATGGGATGACCTGATGATTCAAAATTGACGCTCAACTCAAGCCCAATCTTCGCCTCGTTCAGGAAAGATCGACGGACAGGGGGATAGGGACCCAAGGATGGGATGACGACTTGGCGCAGAAAGAGCAGATAGGCGTACTGTTGATCGAGATCGTACTGACACATCTGGAGATATCGTGCTATCAGGGCGCCTGAGTCTAGCCACCATTGCCTCTCATACTCATTGGAAAAGCATCCATACTTGGCGATAACATCCCATGGGGTTGGGGAGGTGGTATGCCTGTCATTTGAACATTTGACATTGGATCCTTCGACAGTGGGGAAAATGGTATTCATTATGTGCAGCAGAAATTCTGATGGAAATGAAGTTGTGCCTCAGTGCTTGGGGTCAAGTGCTAGTGGAATAAAGCTTCTCTGAAACTCTCTTTGTAGGTTCAGGACAGGCGACCTATTTTAGATGTTTGGAATTTCATGTTCGCAGACAAGATATAGGTTCTGGTTTAGGATCAGGCATATTCAGATGGTCTGATTATGCACGTGTGACGCTAAGAAATTTTCAACTTGCATTAGCGCAGCCCAGATATCAATGCTCGACATATTGCAGGTGACTAGAAAATGCGAGTGACTAGCCTTGATAATCTGGGAGCAATGTAATTATCAGAAAAAGGCAAAAGACTCGGGGCTGTCTGAATCAAAGATGTCGTCGAGGCTGGCTGAATCGAAAATGTCGCATTTGCGTCTCAGCCTACAATATTGATGGGAGTCATCTTCAGGTAGCCACAACTCAGCTCAGCTTATAATATTGGTTTTCATACCTGAAATGGAGGAGTGACGGTCGAGTTTCAAATATTGATTACATATCTCCACATTCCAGTAGGAGCTGAACCTCCGAAGAAGCAAACGGCATCATGATTTAATGGATGGCGGCTGCCAGCGTAACCATTAATCTGACCGCTGTATCTAGCAATCAAATTTGATACATTCTTTTCTTCCTCAAGAGCCAACCAGCAATTTCATTATATCTTAGCCTCTCAGGATCTTCCCTCTCAACATCAAAAATATGAACTCTCTGAGACGTTGGTTCTCAGGGCAATCGAGCTGCACCACTGTCGACTTTGCCAAGTACAGCCCATCAGACATCATTGAGCGAGATGTGTGTATCATTGGAGGGGGTGCGGCTGGGACCTACGCCGCTATGCAGCTACAGGAAAGACACAACAAGAGCGTCATTGTAGTAGAAAAGGAGCCTCGACTAGGGGGGCAAACTATGACCTACCTCGACCCTGAATCCGTCAGCCCAGTTGAATACGGTGTTACCTGGTTCATGGATCTTCCTGTGGTCCGCAATTACTTTTCATTGCTGGGGATTGATGTGATCCCCTCCAGCTTTACCTACAGGCTTCAGGGTTGTGATTTTCGCACCGGGGAGGAGTTTCCTGCATTCTCACCAGAGGATCAAAAAGCTGCTCTGGCGATATATCAGGCCAAGCTGGAAGAATATCCCTATCTGAAATTGGGATTTTACTTGCCTCACCCGGTCCCAAAAGATCTCCTGCTTCCGTTTGAAGATTTTGTCAAGAAGTACAACATGACCTCGGTCCTTCACTCAATGGGTGGGCTGAACTTTCTTGGTGACTGGCTGCGTCAACCGACCCTCTATGTGATGAAATATCTCAATATGGGCTTTCTGACGGGCTGGCAAGACGGTTTTCTCAAACCAGCCGACCGCAACAACAGCTCAATCTACGCCGCGGCCCTGCACCATCTCGGAGGAGCCAACGTGCTGTTGAACAGTCATGTTCTCCACGTGGATCGGGACAGTGACCCGGATAGGGTCTTCGTCGAGGTGCAGTCGGGGTCTAAGGTGTGCCTTATTCGCGCAAAGAGAATCATCGTCGCTGTGCCCCCGCTCCTGACAACATTACACGGTTTTGACCTCAGCCAAAGAGAAAAAAGCCTTTTTCGCCAGTTCCGATACACATACTGCTATACCGGCGTGGTGCGCATCAAAAAAGACCTGCCTCCCGACGTGTGCTATACCAACCGCGCCTCGGCGGATATTTTCGCTTATCCGCGTCGTCCATGTGTCCTGACGATCCGACCCAGCGATGTGCCAAGGTTGTACACCCTCCATATCGGTTCTGATGTCCCCTTGATGGAAAGCGAAGTGAGGCGGGAAATTCTCAGTTCATTGCGTAGTTTTCAAATGACTACTCCCGAAATCCTGATAACAGGCAGCCATAGTCCTTATCAGCTTACCGTGTCCACCGATGCAATAGAACGGGGCTTCTACGACGATCTGAATGGGCTACAGGGTCACCGGCGGACGTATTACATTGGTGCAGCTTTTGAGTCCCACAACTCTCCGCAGATCTGGGAGCTGACAGACCAGATTCTGCAAAACGAGCTTTTGCCTTCGCTTCTGAAAGAGCCTTTGAAATCTGGGGGCAAGAATCACTGCTGGCGCTGGGCTTAGACTCCAGAGTGATTTGATTTGGCAATATTTCTCGGCCTGGGAGTATAGGAATTTATCGATAGATCGTCATCATGCGGGATAAGAGAGCGAAGAAACGATTGCGTCAAACAAGGTCAAATTCTATATTACTACGTTCTCTTGACCATAATTTCAGGTTTACTGTTCATGTAGCTCGAATAGTCTACACTACGATGCCACCAAATAGGTAATATTACGAGATCCAACCTCGGGTCTTGTTTTGGAAAATAAAACATGGACCTAGCGCCCACTGTGTAATACCAAGCTGTATGGGGGAAACGGAAACCAATTGTAGAGATGAAGCAACATCTGAGTTCGCGTAGAGCAAGGTGGATTTTGATGGCTTACAGAGCCACGAGTCTAACCAGCACAAGACTCTGTCCTCGGCGAATGACAATGGTCGATGGTCATGAGCTTCCCTTCTCCATCTGGTCTGCATACTCCAAGCCTTCCGACTTGCAGGTGTGGAAGAGACAATTGTGATATGTTCTCAACTAGGCCATGATTTGTCATTTATACAATAACAAGCACTATACTTGTATAGCAACCGGACCGCATTGATATGGGTTGGTATTTGACGTACGGACTGATGTATCCTAGGTAGACTATTGGGACTGAGTGTATAATAGATCGGGAATCGCGGAATGTGCGGGCCAGTGATGGACGATCTACCACGTTGCACCAACCTGGGCCGGACCGTGGCGTAGATGGGCTGGCTGATGGTGCTTCTTCAGGATTCTGTAGCTGAATTCCGCCTCGTTTGAAATATGCACACGCCAGCCCTCATGGGCTGACGGGTCACATAATCCTGTGACTTATCGAGTAAAGGATCGGCAGTGGCATTTTCTAATCAAACATGCATGTCAGCCCCGCTCCTCGCTGATTCGACTATACAAGTGGTGCTCATAGTATCCTACGGCTCAAAGTACATATATGAGCCTTTACAGAATCATACTGAGCCTTAGTTGTCGAGGGAAACAGTCCTATTGAATACTCAAGAAAATCAACCACACCTCTCCCCTTCATGCCATCATGCAGACGCTTTCAGGACTGTACCACTCTCTTTCCGGGCGTATCCTCACGGTCAATGATCACAACCGACTCGCTCTTCTGCCAAGGAAAGCCCAGCAAAATGAAACGGACAAGCTGCGAGTGGATGGGGATTTCTGGCTGTGCCGAAACGACGGTGTAGGTAATTGATTGCCTGTGGTCTGTACCATATCTTAGGGCTGACTGCTTCGTCGATTTGTAGCTAGTTGGGAAATTCGGAACTCCGGAAAAGGTAAAGACCCAGACTGACACGAGGATATTTCGCATGACCACTGACGGCTTCATCAACGACCCAGGTGACCCTGCATTGTGACGGTCAAGAGTACAATATTTGGGTGGAAACGCGCGGCTTTCGCGATGGGTCGACTGAGGTGGGTACCCTGAGAGCTTGGATCATGTATCTTTTTTGTGGTGCACTCGCTAATGACCTTTTTAAAAACAGTATGGTCTGAGTCCTATCCCACCGGGTGGTGAGTACAGCAACCGGTTCTTGGCTGTCAACGAGGAATTAGACCGGTTGGAGATAGTCGGGCAGTGGGATGACCAGGCAAAGTTCCGTTATGTATCGTAATCGATCCCTGGAGCCGGTCGTCATTTAGTGGGAGGTTATAGGGAAGCATGCTATTATCATGACCCCGTTTTGAAATTCCGTGTGGTATTTTGCTACTATTACTTCCAGCCTTCGCCTGTAATAATGCGATAATTGGTAACTCAGGATCATCTTATTGAATTACCAAGCATAGACTGTATATTTCTTATAGCAACATTGGCTCATCTCCCTTCTTACTCTCTATGCGTACTGCAATTCTGTTCTCCCTTGATTCGGGATGAATCTGGCATTGCTCACCACAACTGATACAAAAAAAAAACAACTTCGACGCGAACCTAATTTTTGAAATTACTTAACCACCACGACGGCTACGGCCTCCAGAATCGACCAGTTTGTCAATAACTCCAGCCGCTATCGAATGATTCTATCTCTATAGGGATTTTCGAGATGGTTGGGGCGAAAACCCCGTGGCCGGCCCTTTCAGGGGTTCCCGAGGCGGCAAACTTACCAAATCAGAATTTTCTCACCTGCGTACTGAACCTCTACGCCGACGCGAAATCGTTCATTTGTTCTATACGATAGGAACGCGCGGATTCGGCGATACTTCAAATGTCAGCAATATGGACATATAGGAATCGTTTTTTTCGAACAAAACAACCTGCGGCCTCTGTGCCGAGGCCCACGAGACCCGGTCCTGCGTACAGAGGTCCGCCACTGGTGGCCAGGGGCGCAAATGCGCTGGATGCGGCGAAACGCACGCCGCCTGGTCGAGAGCTTGTACGAGGTACGTAGCGGAGCAGGAGCGGGTGCAAACTGCAGCTCAATATCGG